ACCCTGGGGTCATGACCTGAGCTGGAGGCAGATTTTTTTTTTTTTTTTAGATTTTTATTTATTTATTTATTTGACAGTTCACAAGTAGGCAGAGATGCAGGCAGAGAGAGAGAGAGAGGGAAGCAGACTCCCTACTGAGCAGAGAGCCTGATGTGGGACTCGATCCCAGGACCCTGAGATCATGACCTGAGCCGAAGGCAGCGGCTTAACCCACTGAGCCACTCAGGCACCCCAGGGCAGAGGCTTTAACCCACTGAGCCACCCAGGCGCCCCACAAGGCCTTTATTTTATATTTATGCACATTCTCTGTAGCTGCGCTGTCCAAGGCATGCAAGGCTGTTTAAATTTGAATTCCACTCTTGTTCGTTTTAGTCTCAAAGTTTTTTATTCTACAATTCCAATATAAATTAATTAAAACGAAATACAATTAAAAATTCAGAACCGTGTCACATAGCCGCATCGGAAGTGCTCAGCTGTCACTTGGCGGCTGGTGTAGATTTTCTCTGCCTCGGCGTGATGGACATTTTGGACCCAGTGACTCTTCGTGCATCGTAGGGTGTTTAGCTCCGACCCCCTGGATGCCAGTAGTACCCTCTCACCCGGTTGTGACAGCCAAGACTGCCTCTAGATGTTGACGCTGTCAGATGTTTCCTGGAGGGCACATGAGCCCCTGGTTGAGAACCACTGGGCTGGAGGCCACTGGCTTGGAAAGCACAGATAATCGAACATTCCCACTGTCCCAGAACATCCTGTTGGACAGTCTGGTCTGTAAGTCTTCCTCCTGTCAGCATCTTTACAGTTAGAACTTTATCCCTACTAAGAGCTTGGGGTTGAATTTCTTTTTTGGGGGGCTATGTTACGTCAGCAAATTCAGTGAACAAAAGTGATTTTATAAATGGTGATACTGTTCTCTCGATAGAATTGATTTTCTTGAGAAAGGGTGGCGTATGCCTTTTGGTCAGCCGAGAGTCCATTCTGGCTCGATTCCGAGCCTGGCTTCACTTGCCGAACTTGAGCATGACCTTCACAAAACCTTCTGTGCCTGCTTTTCTCATCGGTCAGTGGGGATGGTTTTCACTCGGGCTGCTATGACAAAATACCGGAGACTGGGGGGCTTAAACAGCAGACATCAACTTCTCACAGTTGTGGAGGCGGGAAGTCCAAAATCAAGGCATTGGCAAGTGGAATCCGGCGAGGGTCTGCTTGCCGCCTTCTTGCCCTGTCTTTATGTGCTGCTGCTGCTGCTGGTGGGCTCTGGCTTCCGGGGTCTCTTCTTTTAAAGACACTCACTCTGTCTTGGGAGACCCCACTCTCACGACCTCCTCTGTCACCACCCCCCAAAGGGCCCCCCCCCAATATACCATCACAGTGGGAGTTGGAGCTCACCTTGTGAATTGTGGAGGGCCAGGCACATTGGGTCCGGAGCAGCGATCATTGGCCGAATTGTCCAGAGGGCAGCCCCAGACAGAGCCTGCTCTGGTCAGCCTTCAGCAAGTGGCAGGGGTCCGTGCTGCTGCCTTCTCGGGAAGGGTGGGCCTCGTGCCACTCTCTTGAATCCTGTGTGCAGACGCAACGGCAGGGTGCCACATCCGACCGAAGGATTGCTCTTTATAGGGGAGGGATACGAGAATGTCAGTGTTTGACAAGGGTAATTATCTCAGCCTCATATAAAGGGTGATTACCGGGCATGTCAAACCCTGTTGTTTAATACTAGGTTGAGATTCGCTTTCTTAATCATCCAGGATTGTTTTGGTTGATGATTTGTTTGCCCATTTTTATTTCTGGGCTTATTTATCAAGGACTTACTATAGGCACCAAGGGAGTCACAGTAGAAAGGGGAGCTGGGTCCTGCCTGGGGGGACTTGGACTTGGCTCTCTCTGGCCCTGAGACCCAACCGTGCCCTCTGCAGGTCATGGCATATGGCGGACTTCGGTAGTCCTGTCCACAGACTTAGTGTGACCTGGACTCTGTCAACCCTGCTGTCAGCTTTCCGTTTCTCTGCGGTTCCCCCGCGGCGTGGGCGCACGTGTGCGAGTGCCCATGCGCTCTCCTGCGATTCAGTCCTCCGTGGGGGTTCCTTTCATTAGTCCTGATCAGTATAGCTTTTGAGAAAAGTTTTGCTTAGACAGAGCCATCTTCTTTTTAGTATCGGCTCCTGGTTTTGTGGCTCATCTTGGCCCTCTGCTGCGGTGCCTCCCAGCTCGCCGATATGGGTCCTGTAACTACCCCGGCCTCCAGATGCTCAGATGTGTGCGAGGCGGCATCTGGGTGTGCTGTGGCCACACTTGCCCGTGTCACTTCTGCTCACGGGCCAGGTACGACGTAGGCGGAAGCAAATCGTTAAATTTGGGAGGCCTTCTTAAGTTTCTAGGGCTGTCTGCTTGAATCGGAGACTGACTTCCTCCTCCCCTTTGGCCACACAGTGGCTTTCTCTCATTACCGGGGAGGAGGGCGGACACTTGGCAGGGTCTCCGGATGACATGGTGCAACCGAACATGAGCCTCGTGCCGGCTGCACGTTGCAGTTAGGACCCTTGTCCCTTGTAGAAACTCTGGGGAAGGTGATGGAGGTTCAGCATGCTTCAGGAACACTCTGAAGCCACACAGGACCCCTGAGCCCCGGCCCGGTGCCTTTCCCTGCCGGCTCTGGCTTTGGTAGCGGGATTGACGGGCCCAGGGCCCGTCCCCTTGGCCTCCGCCACCCTGGCCGTGGCCATTCCTTTCTGTGAACACAGAGGTTCCGCCGCCCCGGCAACTGAAGGCTGAGCGCTAGAAAAGCAAAGTGCCGGGGCTCGAGGCATGGGGGGGAGCGAAGAAACCCCTTCTCTTGGCGCCTCTAGGAAATTGCTTGTAGTGGAACTAATTTCAAGAAGGGGAAGAGGCAGCCTCGGGTTGTCCAGATTTATGGGATGGGAGGCAGCCAGTGCAGGGACAGCTGTGACCGGAGACCTGTGGGGGTAAATGGGTCCCTGCCCAGGGAACCATCTTTCCTCCCTGCCGGAGCCTGTGGGGATGCCCGCCCCTCTCTAGGGGAGGCCGAGGAGGGGCATAGGAGAAGGCTCTGGACCCAGCCTTGGTTCTGGGTGATTCACTGCAGCTTTCCAGCTAGAGCCACCTCGAGAGGCTGTTAAATTGTACATGCTCGCTCCATCCTCCCAGGAAGGAGACAAAGCATGGGCGTGCATGCCATGCTTCAGATTCTTTGCAAGTGAAAAATAATCTCGTAGCCTTCCCCTGAATTATACAGGCTACGTAGGAGACGGAAACAGCCTTATTATTTTTCTGGTGTTGAAGACTGGCTGTTACGCTTCCATCAAATCTTGCAGGTTGGTATTATTATTGAGGAATTTTGAAAACCTTCTGTGAGCGTGGATGATGTGATTACCCTTCCCCTGCTGTGAAATCCTAAGTCTAAGCAGGTAATACACGAGCCGTGGTATGGAGAAGGGCTTCTTGGATGTTGTCACCAGCATTGATTTAAGGCAGAGACCCTAGGTTTTCCTCCAGAAAATTTTCTGCTGTTCTTGCTTCCCAGAATATCCAGGATATTCTTTTCCAGAGCACCTCGCCAGGAGTTTAGCCGCTTATAACATTTTAAACTCTTACTTGTTTATCTTGGTGAGCTTTCCTGGCTAGCAGGGAAATCCATCATTACGCTTGGGTCCAAGTGAAGTAAAAAGAACCTTTTGTATTTTTTTTTTTTTAGGTCTATGTGTGTTGTTAATTTTTGTAAATGGGAGCTGGCCGTGGACACAGTCTCTTAGGTTAGTGGTAGAATAGGTACGTGTGTGTGTGTATGTGTAATATATATAAACTTCTACTGATGGGAAATGCCAAATGCACACAAAAGTAGAAAGAACAGTAGCGTGGAGCCCTCCTGTACCCTTCTCCCCACCTCACCACCCAGCCACACGGGGGCCAGTCCTGTTTTGTCTGTCAGCTGGCCACATCCCCCAAACCCTTACTGCCATATCGAGGCAAATCCCAGAATCATACTGAATCCACAAATAGCTCTTCTAAAGTTAGGGATCCCTTGTGAAAACATAACTATAATGCCTGTACCCCACTTAATAGTCACCTCTTAACATTAT